CCCCCGCCACAGCCACGGCTGCTTCACGTTCACCTGGGAGAAAACAGTTCACACTGTGGCCGTGAAGCTCGGGGACATTCTGGGAGTTTAAAGCCTCCTCCGACCCACCATGTTAAAAACAAAACGCATCATTAACAAAAGAGTGAAATAATTATAATACCTACAATGCCGTACTGCAGTGATGTCCAACCACTGTACAAGAGGTCATCAGGTCAAAATAATCTCATTTCATTTAATTTACAAATACAAATAATGTGTCCAACTGCGACATGCAGAATAAAAATAACACTCTTCCACTAGGTGGCAGTAGATGGCAAAAAGAGACGCAGAAGTGATGGAGTCTTTCTTCAATTCCTGTAAGTAGTGTAGTGTTCAACTGAACCCCACCACTTACAGAGTAGTACTGAGTAAGTAAACTGTGAGTAATTTGAAACTAGATTTATATTTATATATACATACAGTATATAAATATACACAAATATAAACACTTTTGGACAATTTTGTTTGTCAATATTTTTTGGCAATTTCTTCCCCTTTTTCAACAATATTTTGAAGAATAAAAACGAGATTGTTTTCCAATTTGTCGAACCAACCCAACTCTTTTCCCCAGGAAGTTGAACTTTCAAACTAAAACATTTCAAAGACACCAGTGAATCACAACACATTCAAATTTGCATAGATCTTTATTTTTAGTAGAATCTATAATTGACATCAATTAAATAAAATGAGGAGAAAAAAAAAACAAGAGCAAAAAATTCCTTAAATTACAAGAAATATTACACTGCACCATTCATGTAGTAGAAAAATAGGCCTTATCTTAGAGCTCTGTCCCGTGTAGGATAGTCTTTCTTGTACATTAATCATAGGTCACAAATCTGTGAGGAAGTGTGTGGAGCCACGGGGCCACGGACCTCAGGAGGAGGTGGGAGGAGCTCAGCTCAGTCCCCTCAGGCTGCCCCCTTCTGGACACTGCATCAGCAAGCATTTTCACTGACACTTTAAGCATGTGCACATAGACACACACACAGCCAAACACACACACTCACACAGGTCAGACTCAGCCCTTAGTTATCAGGGATGGGACACGGTTGGTTGTTTGTTTGTTTGTTTGTTTTGCCTCTTCCCTCCTCCAGCAGCTGCTGAACACAGGGTGACTCACAGGGTGACGCTCAGAATGACGACAACAAGAAGACGGGTGAGGAGGGGTGAACTCAAGCACTGCACTATCAAAACACACCACACAGAAATGATTGTCTTTGGTTCCAGGCCCTACAGTTCGCTCCACCCGACTACAGACGAGCCACTTCATCAGGACTGATGTGAATCAGTGACACAAAGACCAAAAGCCTCCATTATTCCCCAGAGAGATTATATTCCTTTACTACCCTCCCACTCCCACTCCCACCCCCACCAGAACATCACTGCGAGCAGCTGATTAAAGGTGTTCTTCTGACACAGCTTCACTGCAGCACAAATGAAGTTTAATTATAGAAGAACTTTCCGGGTACATTTTTAAAAGCCTGTGACGGCAGCCGCTGGTCCTCGCCGTTGCACGGTAAAAAAAAAAAAAACAGCAAACGTGATTTTAAAGATTGTAATAGTTCTGACTTCAGCATTTAATGCAATCCAGCTCTGATACATAAACATGTATCTGTGTGTGTGTGTGTGTGTGTAATGTTAGTTTAGCTATATTTGTGTGGACAGTGTTTTGGAAAATGGATTGCAGGGACACTGTTTTGCAGGTCCCCAATGAGTGAGATGGTGTTTAGAGAATAAGGGTTAGTTTGGAATTAGGTGTTAGACTTCAGATGGTGGTCAGATTATCTTTAGGCTCAGGGGTGTGAGATTAGATTAGATTAGAGTTAAGGAATAAGATTAAACATGTATTAGTATTCAGACAACCAGTGAAGACCAGTGAGGTCCAGTGATGATCAGAATGGACCAGTGAGCACTACAATGTGATTTTAAGGCATGTATCGTTAACTCGGTGACTTTTATGTTTCACATTAACCACAGGTTACTTACTGTGGATAAACTGAACCACTGTCATCATCACCGTGGCAACCAATGACAACCATTGACAACATCAACGTTTCAAACAGACACCTGAAGACTAAACCAGCTGATCCTGGTCCATTGGCATTTTAGGGGAAATGGTTCCAATAAGTCGCTGCAGATTAGTACAACAGTGGTGTTTTAACAAACGTACCCTCCTGAAGCCACTTTACTTCAGCTGTATTTAGAGCTGATGGTACGTGAGGTACCAGGGGTAGGGTGAGAACCTCTCTGTCTGAGCGCCACTGTTTCTGTAAGAACTCACTACAGTAGAGGAGTCACTCGGTCCAATCACAGGTCTTCACTACAGCAAATGAACAGTCGTCCCAACGAACGACGAGCCACAATGATCTTCCCCTGATGTGGGTTCACATCCCATTCAGAAGAGTATTTAACGATCAACGGAGTAATTCTAAGATTTTGATCAAAGATCCAAGTGTTCAATACGAGGGGTGGGGGCTGAATAAAGGTCATTAGCAGCTCTGCTTTGTCTGAATAATAAATGTCCCATTAGCATTTAAATCGGCGATAACTCTGCAAAGACGAGCTGCTGGGAGAAACTGCGCTGCTCAACATTCACAGAATGTTCTGGATTGAATCAGAGCAGTCTGTGAGAAACTGGAGTAAAGCAGAACAGACAACAGAGCTACGGACAGTCACTGCAACGTTTGGATGTAAACCTGCTGTAAACGTTCTGTGGAGTTAAAAAGTCAAATTGTTATTTGTGGTGAAAAATACATTTATAACTTGACGTCTGTGACGCTGTCGTTAAAATTAAATTTAAAAAATCACAACAATAGTCGTCCGAGAATGACTGACTCCAAATGAACACCAATCAGATTATTAGATTAGCGTCATTTAAACAGTTAAATTGTACCAAAGAATTAATGCTACTACAATCGTGTTTTCTTTACTGTATGTGTGTTTGTTTGGGTGTCCCACCTGGCACTGCACTAAGAATAACTACTTTTTTCCCCCACTAGGGGCAATGTCCGCTATATCTCATATAAGCACAAGCGAACAACAGGATGTGAGCAAATACTAGCAACTAACTCATCGATTTACTGACTATAGCAAATACTAGCAACTAACTCATCGATAAATTTACTGACTACGGGGTCGTTTGCGACAGGCCTTCACTTTGTACTACAGAGAACTGTGTTTTACTGCGGTGCCCTGAATGGAGCAGCAGATACAGCTGACCTAGTCTGAAAAGCAAATCTCTGTCACGCTCAGTGTGCTCCATCTTAAGAACAGGTATGTCACTTCGTGTTTGTGTTTCTGCCTCGGAACTCCAACCGACTCCACCGACAAAAACTGACAGAGTTTGTTTTTCTGCTGCTGCTCGTTTGGCGAGTGTGTAGTCCTGGAGTAAAATCTGAACAAAGAAATCGCAGAATAACCCGTACGGGGTCAACTGACACAGACAGCAGCATCTGAACAAAGAAATCGCAGAATAACCTGTACGGGTTCGACAACTGTGGGATGCGTCGGCCATTGTAGTGAAAGTCGGATTATTTATTGATCCTGGGATTAGGGGACGGATTAGTGTCACACAGGTGGGGCGTGAACAAAGACAACGGAGAATAAAACTGATCACAAATCACTGGGTCACAACCAGGTGTTAGACTAGTTTTTCATCCTCCAAACCACAGAAATTCCAAACCAGTAGGGGGAGCTGTTTCCCCGTATGACTCACAGTTTGGTCTGTAAGAACTGGGAGACACTCAGAGTGAGTGGAGTTCCTATTTTTGTGGGAGGAATGACAGATAAAAAGGCAGATGAATTTGGTTTTGATGCAATTACCACCTGCAAATGAAAAGACGGCAGCGATTACCGTCTGCGGGCTTTCACGTCGTGACACGTAATTACGAACCATTATTACTCATCAATGTGTCTTTGGCTTCCCAGTTTTAAAATGCACCGGGGAGTCACTGCGGATCAGAGGTGCTTTTTAAATGTGGAGAAGCCAAGACTGCAGGGAGAAATCTGATTTTATGCCTCATTGTGGATTTCTTTTGTCAAAGTGTTTTTGTTAAAGGGCGCTCTTCTCTCTAATTTACATTAGCCTTGCAGTCACATTCGCGCGCGCACACACACACACGCTCTCCTCTGCATTTTATATTCAGCAATCTCATCTGGCTACTGCACTGAGTGATGGCAGAAGAAATAAAAAAAGAAAGCAAATAATAATCATCTGTTTACTGTAACAAAGACAGAGGTGGGGAGGTGGGGGGGGGGTGGGGGTTGGACCGAGCACAGACGCTGATGTGATTAAGGAAGAGAGGAGGGAAAAAGACAGTTTTAATAGAAAACCCGCCCAAGTGTGAACTAAGGGAATCTGGGGCCGTCCTGAGACAACAGCCTTCGATCCGGCCTCTCACGGAGGAGTGGAAGATGAGATCCTGAAGCCGAGGACCCAAGTGGGTAAGAGGAAAAAAAAAAAAAAACAAGTGGTAAAACCAGAAAAGACTGTGAAAAGAGACCGTCACCCCCCCGGCCTTAATCTGGCAGGCCCGTGGGGCTGACGGGGTTTTAAAAGCGTGACGAAGAGGGAGCACGAGGCAAAAGGCATTAAAGAGCACTTTGTGTTTTGATAAAGGCAGTCCTCTCGTTGTGGACTTCAAACTCTTCGTTCTCGGAGTCCGTGTTGACGCCTTCGTCTCCCCACACCGTCGGGATGCCACGGTACGACACCACCCTGTTTCCCCCGAGGCGGAAACCGCTACCGAGACCGCCTGCCGCCTCCAGGGAGGGCAGCTTGATGAGGGCGCCTGAACGCAGCTGCAGCAGCAGGAAGATGCTGGCGAAGGTGGCGATGATGGCCACGCAGCTGAGCACGGCCACCGTGACGGGCAGCTGGGAGCCCGACTCCACGGGCATCACGGCGTTACCCTGGCCCCTCATTAAGGTGTCGGGGGACTCGCGCATGTACTGGTTGAGGTGCATGCAGGTGCCAGAGACCGGGTCCAGGGAGCTGTGGGGGGGGCAGGAGAGGCAGGCTTGGGGGCTCAGACTGCTGCAGGTCAGACAGGGGTCTGGGCAGGGCAGGCAGGCGGGGACTGAAGCTGGTAATATGGCGTTGCCCACTGTGTAGTTGAGGGGCTCGGAGCCCACGGAGAAGCCTGAGGGACATTCCTTCACACAGGACTGATGGAAGAGGAAGTAGCCGGAGTGGCACTCTGTGAAAAGAAGACGAGGAAACTGATGTAAAAAAAAAATCACACAAGCATCTGGATCAGGGAACCAGGGATCCTTTCAAAGATCCATTCACACTCACATTCACACCAGTGGTTCAGACTGGTGTGATTGGTTCACACCAGTTCAGAGTGAAAGACTGGCCTGATCCTTAATCTATAAACCCTGAATCCTAATCTTTACTGTGGCAGGAAACTGGGGAAAGAACCTGGGGCAAAACCAGACGTACTGAGAAAACCCATCACTTAATACAGGGGCTTGAACTGACGACCTTCTGCTGTAAGGCTAGAGACACTAAACCCCAGATCCCCTGTGCAGCCTCAAATTGTCATAAAGAATTAAATTCTAGCGTTTACTTAAAGTAACTCATTATATTGATGGGTTATGTATCCAGTCATCACCGTCGTCATGGTAACGGCATTGGTCAGACCATCTTTGGCCACTTACGCCCTGCAGTGATTAAAAACTAACTCAGTCGTGTCCATCCTGAGACGCTCTTATTGGAGGTGGAGTATCGTCTCAGTGGCGCCCTCTTCCAAACGTTCTTGTACTGCATTGGTTTCCCTCCACCTCACTACACTGAAAAGGGTTAGGGTGGAGAACCGTCATGATGTTCCACTGTTCCACCTCACTGAACACAAGGTTGAGGGCATTCAAGCTGCACTGAGGGCACCCCAGCAGAGCTGTGTGTGTGTGTGTGTGTGTGTGTGTGTGTGGTGGGAGGGTAGTAAGGTACCGTCTCCACCAGACTCTAACTTCTAACTCACCGATGCAGCTCTGCCTCAGGTCCAGGGTCTTACAGCTGGTGGGCTGTGGATTTTCCGAGGAGTTGGTTGATGCAGATCCAGTGCCGTACAGCACCAGGGTGAACTGGGTCAACGTTCCTGAGTGGAGTCAACAGACACGGCGATTAGAGAAAAACATGAATCACCCAGGGCAGAGGGAAGACGATGTGTTAAAGACGACATGAGCTAGCGGTGGACGGAGCGTGACAAACGGACGCGGCCCGTGGCACCACGTCAGATTTTCAACACAAAAATAACTGGAAAATGAGATTTCATGATGTCAGGATTTGTCTCCGTTGCCGGGAGTAAAAGGCGTCAAGTGAACATGTCTCAGTAATCAGAGTGAAGAGGCTCCACTTCACTGAAACACCCTGTTCTGACACAGCCAGGAAATATCATCTCACTGCTGTGCAGGGATTTGGATGCTGTCGTCAGCTGCTGCACCATGTTCAAGCAATTAATTTAACAAGTCTGCACCTTGAACTACTCACGTTCCATCCATCCATCCATATCTATTTATATCAATCCATGTTTACCTATATGTACAGTATATGTATGTTTACATACACGTATCTGTGTCTGTATATGTCTATTCATCCAACAATTTTAAATTTATCATAAAACTGAATTCCATGATAAAAGCTTCTTGTGTTAACCCTATTATTGTGAGTGTAGATATATTCATAAATATATACAATATATGTATTTTCAAAAATATTTACAGTATATATTCATAAATACAGTACATGTGATATATATGTACATATATACAGAGATATATAAACATACATACATATATTAATATGTAATATATAAGATATTCTTATATATTATATATTACACTGATATATGGCTTTACACAAGAGACACATTTTTAAACCCATTAATAATAGTGGCACAATTCCAGAATCTCTAGTATACAGTACTTGGTCCCTGGGTGGGGGTGGGCTGGACCCATCCAGAGAGAACAGAGCTGTTGCTGTGGTGCATTAGAGGGATAATTCATTTCCTTTTTAATTATTGATTTTCTTCTTTTGTCTATTTGACAGTGGGGAAAACGGCTCTCGTTTGTAATTTTATTCTCTTTGTTAAACCAACACATTTAAAAAAAGAGGAATGTGAGAACTACACACTCCTGCAATGGAGAAGAGTGGAGCGCCCTCCTCAGGAGAAGCCTGGGGGGTCAAGATGGCAGCTAGCTGTAGGATTAAAAAAAAGTTATGAAAATGATTTGGTCGATTTTTTTTTATAACTTATTAATTATCTATTTATTTATTCATCTCCGAGGGCTGCTGCCAGCACTGACTGAAGAGCAGGAACAAAAATGTATTCACAAAATATCTAAAAAAAAAACCCCAAAATTTAACGTTGAATATTGTGTCTTTCACCACACACCAACAATGCTTTATCACCCCCAAATAAATTAATAAAATGAGCTGCAATGCTGCCATCTAGTGGCTATCACTTTCATATAAAGCTGTTTTTCCTTAATATCGCCCGACCGATATTATCGAACATCCCTACAGAGAACATTTTCAATTCCAATTTGTTGGCCGATTAAAATGCACTTCAGCAAAAAGGACCAGATGTTACAAACAATGAGCTGGAAATTCTACATGAAAAAAAAAAAACGTCAACATGTTCCACCTAAACAGTGAAGATACTTTACCGTAGTCACTTTCACCGGCAATGTTTTCAATCTCCAGTGTCCAAGACCCCTTGGGGTCCTCGTCCCAAGAGTGGGTGGTCATGAAAGCCCAGTCGTTAAAACCCTCTGACGAATAATCATGAGGCCTTGGGAGAAAAAGAAACACAGCAGCAGCAGAGTGAATACATTCTGTTTACCAAGAGTGTACTGTGTGTGTGTGTTTGCACAGTTGTGTATCTGGTGTTGGCACCTGGGGTGAAGCAGTGTGGAGCGAGTACCAGCTGGACTAATGAGGTGGATGGCCAAATTCCCCCTGCGGTTGTAGGACAGGGTGAGCCGGGCCTGGACATGTTCTAACAGGGTCACGCGATTCTCTGTGCCGACGCAGGCGTCCACGCTAATGTTGATGGATAAACGACTGCCGATGTTCCTGTAGACGAGGGGGAAAAAAAAAAAAAAACGTCATGTGAACTGATGTTCCTCCAGGAGACGACAGACAGATGTGGCCTCGAGGAGCAGAGTCAAACGTAAACATCAGTATCATCTGCAGATACAGTAAAGTTCAGGATATTTCCTACTGTAATACTAATGATTATCTTTAGCTCCACTTCTATCTTTTGGCTGTTTTCCTGTTGAACATATCGATCCAATACTCAGGATCGGTATCGTTACGATCGTCAGCAATACTGATCAAAAGTACAGGATCAAAAATCGAACAAAACATCCATAGCTGGTCTGATCCGATACCTAAGCTCAAATCAACTTAGTCCGATGTGCCTCGGAGTTGGCTTGAGGAGAACTGAAGGTACTGGATTGTCTTAGTATTGGTATCAGACATGAAAACGTTGTATCGAGACATAAAGCGGATCAAATCCTATCTTTTGCCGCAGAGTCAGGGTAAGGTCACCACATCAACGGTCAAAAAGTTGAAATAAATGAACGATAATAAACCATTAAATTAATCAATATTTTTAATGCTCTTTAACTCATGGGCAGAAGAAGGTCAGAGGTCACAAGTTCAGGGCAAGTCAGTCCAGTAAGTGGAGTTAGAACTCGTTTACTGCTGAGTCATTGGACCAGAAATTAATGCTGATTACTTTGAGTTAGATTGAAATTAAAATCCAATTGTTTCCATTTTACCTTCCAAAGAATTCCAATTAGAACAACTGAACTTTTTTGGGTCTGAAATCCATAGTCGGTCTCGCCCCCAACACCAGCCCCCCCACTCCCTCACCCCCCATTCCTCCTTGTAATCACAGTACTGCAGCTGCTCTTCCATCCATCCCCTCACCGCGGCCGCCCACCGATCGCTTATGGCACATCACTCGCCCCAATGCAACGTCACATGTAAACAGAACAACCTGCAGATACTGCAGCCATCTGTTCTGCATTGTTACTACAAAAGAAGAAATACCACATGAAAGGAATAATTTGAAACTTCCATTAGCTTGTAGTAAAATCTAAAAAAGACACAGTTAATGCGAGCAGAACAACAGTTAAGGGTCATGTGATCACGTGATCGACTCCCAGTTCTTTTCAATTTCTCTTGTTGCACACTGTGTCTCTAATGGATTCACACTCACTGTGCTGCTTCAAGCTGAGCAATATATCAAGCAATATATCACTCAGTTTACATGAATTAAGCAACGGCAGTGTACATTGCTATTAATATATATATATGTATATTTATATACTGATGATGACATCATCAGGACAGTAAACATTAAACACCAATACACACCCTGCTCCTTATGTGTCTCTAAAATCATGTCATGGTTTAAATCCTAAACAAAAGGTCAAGAGCCACTGACCAGCAGGTGGCGATCCTAAAACACACGATAAACTGGGTCAGGGTGATTAATAGTATGTTTTTAAAAATAACACTTAAATGTATTTCCTGATTATATGTTGGCTGAATGAAAACAACATGGTGTTACTGTTTTTGTCCAAGGTCAGTGATAACGAGCTGTTTTAATTGGTGCCTTTAAAACAGCTGTGAAAATGAAGACTTTTGGACACAAGGTCTTCAGATGAATCAACCTGCTGGAAACGTTTTCTTCCGTGTGTGTGTGTGTGTGTGTGTGTCTAAGTACACTGTGCACAAACCTTGGCTCGCTGACCATGGGGATGACACACTTCCTCTGCGGGGCCACGTTTTTCCACGTCTTTGCCAGTGACACTATCGCACCAGCATCGAGTAGACCGTAGCCGTAGGAATGGCTGACTGTAGAGAGAAGAGAGTGAGAGCAGAGTGAGAACAGCTGACACATGAGTGACAGCAGAGCTGTGGAGAGAGGCGAGGCATCCACATCCTGGAAGTCACGCTCGTTCAATATTTAAAGTGCTTTAAAGTGCGGTTTTTGACAGATCCTGGAGCCCTGCTGAAGAAAACACCCCGGCCTTGGTTTTGGTGTTTGACCTGCCGGCAGCAGCAGCAGCGTCAACAGTCGTCCAGCTGTAGTTCAACAAACGGAGCAGCAGAGACGAAAGATGGACCAAAACAAGAGTTTACACAGTCACAGTCTGGTCAGGATCAGGATTCATCTGACAACCACCACCAACAAACCAACCAGCACAGAACTTTTTCATTTGTCACAGAGTCAGAAAAACTCGACAGCCCATAATCACGGTGCCTTCAGGTTCCCTGATGCCAGAGGCAGCTGCAGAGATGAGATCAGAAAAAAACAGAAATGTTTTCTCTACCTTTGCGTCCGACCCCGTTGGTCTTCCAGTCGTTGGTGAGCAGGTGTGCAGGGTGAGAAGTTTGCACGACCAGATGTTGCATATCCCTCCAGGTCAGGTTTTTACTGGTGTGGGTGGAAAGGAACACACACACACACACACACACACACACACACAGTGTTAAGGTCTCACAGATCGTTGAGTCATTCTGTGGACTCTACTTTAGGTTAGCATACCATGTTAGCATCTTCTTAAACATGTAAAACAATATATTACACATATTCACAGATGTAAATATGAAGTTGTTTTGTTGTCATAATCAGGCTGAGGTGGTTGGTGGTTGAGGGCTACGATTGAAGATACATTTGCCATAAACGTGCCAGGAACTTACTTTGCCTCTAGAGCCAATGCGATAATCCCAGCAGCCAGTGGGGCGGAGGCTGAGGTACCCGTGTGGGAGTCTGTGCATTTGGACTTCAGGTCTGTGGTGACCTGAGGAGACGAGAGTCAGTCACAGACCGACAACAGTCACAGACAGGTTTTACCTTGTTTCTACCGTCTACCTTTTTCACTAGCATGAAGTCGCTACTGCAGTAAAAGTTTTGAAAGTAGCATATCGTGTAATATCTGTAAGAATCGTTATCATTTTCCCCCGATAATGAAAACCCAATAACACAAAATAGTTTCATGGATAAACGGCTGTATATTAAAGTGAAAGTCACTAGATGGCAGCATTGCAGCTCATTTAATGAATCTTATACTTAATAAATATTACCAGGCCTATATCGGTATCAGTTTATATCTAAATTGGAAATTAAATGTTTAGACAATATCGGCAAAAAAGTTCATATCGGACGTCGCTAGTTTTGATTAAAAGAAAGAAAAACACCCCAAAAACTCACGATCTGTTTCTCGTTGATGTTTCCTGAACTGTAGGTGGTGGCGAGGGTGGAGGAGCAGGCCTCGCTGTACCAGGGAACGTTGCCGTTCTGGGTGGAGCTGCTGATGGACAAGGTGTAGATGCTGTTGGTGTAGCCATCACAGTTACAGCTGTCCTTCTCCCTGCCGCCGTTTCCAGAGGCCCACACGAAGATTGACCCCAAACCGCCACGACCCTGAGGGAGGAAAAAAAAAAATGTTGTCATTGTGATGATGTGGATCACAGGACATCAGAGCTCATTTTATTGGACGACCATGTTATACCAGAGGGTGACACACTGAGCCAGTGGACAGTTAATTAAAAAACACAAACATGACAGTAACTCCATGTCATGAATCCCTCCTTCCTCTAGGGGTCTGTCAAGTGTAATCATTTATATTAAAACACGCTTCGTGGTATTGAGTGGCAGCGTCTCTTCCTGCATTGATCAAAGCACCACTCACAGCTCCATCTAACGACGCTGTCACGGGGGCAATTATGTGAGTAGTCAGTGTCAGCAGTTCCCATCAGCCTTATGGAAGGCGACTTGGATCCTGCTGCTCCGTAACCTCCCTGATGGATGGATTTGTACAAGGAGAACAGATGTGAGCGCCTGGAGGTGAGCCCAGTGTCTGATATCTCATTCCACTGTTCACAGGACTGAGATGAAACACAGGCCTGCCAGTCATTCACCCGACGACAGACGACAGAGAGGCTGCGCTTTAACTTGAACTCTCATTTGGACATAGATTGAAGTGTAATTCAGTAAGGATTTAAAATGAACTGAGGAAAATAAAAATGTTTTCACATATATAAGTAATGTTTTATATATATATACATAGATATTTATATATAGAGTACATATATTTACACTAATACAAATACACAAATATAAATAATTAAATATATATATATAGTACATGCATGTATATATACATATTTATATATATATGAATTATATGTGTCTATAAACATATATACACATATATAAATACAAACATTTATATATATATTTACACATATGTGTAATTTCTTTTATTCATACTCTACTTTAATATGGTATGGTGTAAAAGCCCTATTAAAATTTTATGATGAAGATTTTTTTAAATTTCATGTCTACAAAAACAAAACAGTGGATTTAACCGAACATATATTAACCGAATATAACAATACTTATTGATTAAACCCAAATTTTGTTATTGAGTGAAACAAAATTACAATTTAAGACTAAATCTAAATTAACACGTCGTGACACAAACTGTTAGGGTCATATTTTCCGCCTCGGTCTAACGAGCTCTCTCTACAGAGCTCTGTTGTTGCTGTCTAGTTCTCATTACTCTGTGTTCAGAATTCTCATGAATGACGGAACTGTTTTGTTCTTCTCACGCTCCGACAGTTCATCCACTGAACGACGGCCACACAATCATCCAATAACGTGCGTCTCATTGACACAAATGTCAGTGTTAGCTAACAGACCTCGGTCACGCCGCGCAGGAACGCTTCCTTGGCGAGTTTGGCCGGTCCGTCCACCGTCTTCCCATCATCCTCTGGGCCCCAGCTGACGCTGTAGATGTCGATGTGTTGGGGGTTCAGACTGAGGGACTGGGCCTCCACCATGTCGGTCACCTCTCCGTCCAGCATACGCACCCCTGAGGGCAGAGAAGGGTTAACATTTAAAAGTCAGAGTGAGGTTAAATATTTAATGAACCCCGGGCGGGTCATAACTCTGGACTTAATGAAGTAGTTTAGAGTACATTTACATCTTTATGATGTGAAGGTCTCTGGGACTGGTACAAATACTGTCCTTTTCTGGGTACTGGGTATGCAGTACATTAGAAGTACATCGCGATGGAAAACAATAATTGATCAGGATTATTTTAGTCAACATTTAAATTACGAAGATTGTTACTGACAAACATTAGATTTATGCATTTTTGTGACCCACACCCTGACAATGGACTAGACTGTCCAATAAATGCTAACCCAGTTTCTACGATGGACTTTGACACCGATGAGCAGTGAGTAGGCTAACACTCTTCAACATTAATGTTCAGCAGCTGGCTGTAGAGACCCAGAGCGCTGTTGCTATGGCACCATTAGCATACTGACATTAGCATACCGACATTAGCATACCGACATTAGCATACTGACATTAGCATAGCGACACGCATGTCTCTGTGCATCCGACGCTGTGACTCCTGTCACTGTTGTTTTTACGTGTTGTTTACTACAAACTCCTGTGAAAAGTTTTCAAAGAAAAACTACGATGAAAATGATGTTGATGCTCAGTCGCCAAGTACGACCAAGAGGGTTTGAGGTTCAAATCCACAGAAGCTCTCACTCAGTGTGATGGTTATTTCACTGAATTGATTATTTTTGTTGACTTTGTCATCTCTGTTGATTTAAACTGTGGGTGTCAAACATAAGGCACACAGACCAAAACCGTCCCGCTTGGGGTTTGAATCCGGCCTGACTGATGAATTTTGAAAATAAAAAAAAATACACAAACACTTCATGTTCAGGTAACATTTTGTAAAATTATACTGCATTAAATGTGAAGATTTATCTAATGTATTTTTTTTGCATGAAAACAAAGGGGAAAAAGTCGGACATTTTGGTAATTATGGGTAAATATGTTATGACCGACCCACTCCGCATCTAATGGTAAATATGTTATGACCGACCCACTCCCCATCTAATTAGGTTCGACACCGCTGCCTCAAACCAATCGGCACTGATGGAACCTAACCGTACCAAAGTACCTACGCTGCAGAGTTTTAACCGTTTAACTTTGAGTGGTTTGTATCCAAATCTAAAACTGTATTGCAGTTTTAATGAGTCAATGTCACATAAACACTCAAACTGCTGAGCCACAGCTGCCACATTAGTAAAAACCACCCGCTCGTCTTCATCTGCATGTCTGGCTGAAACGGTTTCAGCTCACCGAGTGTAACTTGAATCAAATTTCCCAGTGATTCCGATGGAAGCGCTTCAACTCTCAAGCTGATTTGTTTGGCTTTAAAGCTGAAATGCTTGAAGTTGGAGATAACAATAATAATAATAAAAAAAGAAAACAGTGAACGCAGCAACTGAAGTGTGTCCTGACAATTTATCCCCGCGTTAATTGAAGAGGTTTTTCCCGTAAACAGATGGCTCCAGTTTTTTTCAACATTATTTTTGTACAGATGAAAGAGAGGAGGAAGAAAAGGGAGACAGTAAAACTCCCCGTCTCCCGTCTTTACTCAAGTTTCTCTGAGAAGCAAAACGCATGATAAAGTGAGAGGGCATTACACGGCCTTGTGAAGCTGCTGTTTCCATGGCAACCTGCTGTCGAGGGCAACAAAAAAACGTTCCAGTCCCTGTCCGAGAGGAATGAAACAAAAATAAATGAGAAAAAAAATAGAATTCATTTTACTCTATTTTCCACAAACTTTTTTTTTTCCCAACTAAAGCGTGAATCATCTGAGGTGAAAACATCACGGAGCAGAAGCTCAGCATCCAGTGATGCAACAATCAGCACATGTCGAAGGAAACGGCTGCAACATGTCGGCAACCTGCTGCTAAATGGTTGCAGTACAAGGCCTGACCTGCAGAGGTGTAACAATATGTAGGTGAAGATAACAAAGAAGAGACATTCTGGTGTGAATGAGTCACACAGTCACGGGGAGTCACGCTAACAATAGAAAAAAAAAATCCATTTGAAAAACTTAACTTATTAACTACAGTCGGAGAACTGACGAAGAGAATTTCAACCTAAGTCAATTATTAGACGGTGTACGATGAACTACAAATGGGGTTTTCATTAAATTCAGAAACCACGCACACACGCAGGATCAAAACAGCTGTATATATTAGGGATGTTCGATATGAACTGTTTGCCGATATCCAATGTACTGACAATGACCAAACACTTAATTTCCAATTTTCGATATCAACCGATACCAATATAGGCATGGTAATACTTAATCTGTACAAACAACTGTATGCGTATGAAATTAATTAAATGAGCTGCAATGCTGCCATCTAGTGGCTTTCACTTTCATACACAGCTGTTTTTCCCCAAAAGCGAAACCCAGGCACTGCGTTATTGGGTTTTCATTATTGAAGGAAAAAACAATAACGATTCTTACAGATGTTCCAAAGTTATGCTAATATCGGGCCGATAATATCGGTCAGCTGATAATATTGGTGTGACATCAGCATAATCACTCAGCCGATATTATTGGATATCTCTAGCATATACCAATTAAGAGAATATATCCCATGTAGTAGTGGAAATCAGATCCCCTGCCTACCACTAGAGGGAGCCCCAGTACAACCAGTTTAAGAATAAAACCATTGTTTTTGGTCAGGATACAGATGAAGGAGGAGAGTCATCGGACAGCTCAGAAAGATGAGTAAACGAGTAAAAATGTGTCAAAAAAAACAAAACAAAACAAAAAAGCCTTTCCATGAGCGCGTAGTCGACAAAGGGACATAAGGAAGACAATAGAAGAGCAGCAGCAGCAGACGGTCTGGAGAGTGTGGAGGGCAAACACACAGCTGAGGACAACCGTCACAAACATTCAGTCTGAATTCAGAGTTCAGTGAATCTGTTCCTCTTATCACCAGAGGCCGCTCCACGGAACACTCCGGAGAACGCCACGGAACGCTCAAGGAAAAACAAAAACTGTGAGAAAACAAATCCTTTTTTCTAATCCTAAATGTAAACTACTCAGTCATGAAGCCTGTGGGGGAGAGAACTTCACCTCTGTGAGAGCAAACTGGAGAAAAGAAAAGAAAAACTCCAAACCTGCAGTGAGTCTGGGACTTCACAAAACTGAAGCGTGGAAGGCTGGAACTGTTAACCATTAACTAGACTATAGTTACTATAACTAACTTTAACTTTACTGATCATTACTGCAGCACATTCAACTACATAAGGCAAAGTGATCTTTATTTTATCCCTATTAGAAAAAACATGAGCAGCTTCTGTCAGTACTAATGCTAATAATGCTCAGTAATAGTTATTGATCAAAGTTAAAAATACAAAAAGACAAAACGATTTTGTTAAACAATAATTGACTTTTCGGCTTTCGACGGAGGCAAAGACAACGTTCAACCAGAACAACGGCTCATCGTTGGAGGTGGAGATTTTCTTTTAAAATGATTCATGACAAATTCATGTATTCATCTTCTACGGTTTAATGATTCCCAGGGTCAGGAGGGCAGCTGAGGGGCAATACTGAGGGCAATGCTGCAAACACTGGGCTTTTTGAAGAACTTCAGAAAAATATATTTTTTAAACAGGTTTAATTTAAAATTTGGTTAAAACTTTAATGTTTGCTTTTATAAAATGCTTCATTATTAAATATTTAAAATTTGAAATACTATTTTAAATAATATTCTGATATTTTATTATATAATATAAGTATTTAATAATATTTTAAATAATATAAACACTAATCAGACACTTGTTATTACAGAAGGCTCTGTACAACTTTCTCATGTCCAACACTGATACCAACACTGCACCAATCCGATACCTTCTCTCCTCCATCAGTCTGAACTAAAACATCGGACGAGTGACTGTGCAGACCGTAACCATGGCGACCGCTAAGGAAGAGTAGAATTCCACAACGATCCGTTTCTTTAAAACTTTATAAAATCAGCAACAAGACCGACCCTGCAGCGAGTACTCAGACTGTACTGCCAACCTTCACTCGTTCCTACCTCCGATCTTGGCGTTGTAGGCCACACCCACGCCACAGATCCCGTTGTTGGCGACCGCTGCCACCTCCCCAGCACATCGTGTTCCGTGCCTGGAAAGAAACGTACATTTATTTTAATAAAACATATACAGGTTATGCTAATGTGAACTCAGTGCAGCACTTGGAGTGTTCCAGCAGTAGTACTGTAGTACTGAAGTTGTACTGACAGGATCCCGGCTTTAATTCCTTCAAACAAATCCAGGACATGATGTCATGAGACGCGTCGACAGCGCGGTACTTCATCTGCCATCTGACCTTGGGAGAACCTGCAGGTTCCAAATTGAGCCAAGGCTGAAGGGAGATGAGATAAAGAACGAGCAGAACCAGACGGACTCTACAACCTTTAGACCTTCTCCAGTGGAACCTCCAGAACAGAAACCCAGGAACGTCTCCCTGTTTGGAATGTTCTCTCTTCAAAGACTCGACAGATTTATGAGAACCTGAGAAACCCAAGTTCAGTCAAAGTCTTTCGTATATTTTTTTCAACCTGTAAAGCCCAATAAGATCAGGATCCAGCAGCAGATCACAGAGGGACCTACGCTGACATCCACTGGGGAAGAACCAATACTGGGACTTCAGTAAAATGTACATCCATTTTTACTTTTTCTCTCAGTAACTTTAATAAAAAGATTTAATCAAGACGTCCCTGACCCCGTGACCCATTACAGGTCAATGTACTTTTTATGATAACTTTTTTACATATCATGTAATTCCATACATCACTCTGCACAGATAGTATAATACACTATATTATATTGTGTATATTATACACACATGTATAATATAATAATGTAGTATAGTCCAGTATATGACAAATACTCTATGTCCATACTGTCATTAATCAGGAAACATCAATGGTGATTAATATACAGGTCTGAACAAACACAAACACAAACACAAACACGCCAACACAAACACAAACTCCGACACAAACACATCCAACACAAACACAAACACAAACACTCACAAACTGCGACACAAACACCTTAATATTCCCGTCAGCTGATGTCGGACTCTCTGATCTGTATTTAAGATGCAGCCGTTGACGGGATGATTCCAAAGGTGTCGTCACTGGAATGCTAACCATGTAGAGACCAACTCCACTGTAGCTGACTGATCCCCCCCCCTACAAACCTCCCTTTGACACATCCATTTAAAATCATTAACTGTCTGATTGATGGAAACTCCCCCCCAACACACACACACACACACACACACACACACACACAGAGGTGAGGCCTGTGGTTCCTGAACCTAGTTATGCATGCTGGTCCTGCATCATCTGGTATTCTGGGAGTGATGTTAATAAGGAGGGGGGGGGGCGATGAAGTGGATCCTGCTCAGTCTCACTGATCGGGTCAATAAAAATGGAGAGGCGTGAGCAGCTCTGTGTCGGATTGGATAAAACCTGATGTCAGGGCAGCTCTGCTCTCTGGCTTTGACTCAGTCTGACCAGCAGGGTTTATTTACCACGCAGTGTACTGCAGTACTCTGATCCAGTCGATACTGTGAAGAGCAGCACATGACCTTCAAGGCCTGTAGCTACATAGGAATCTAGATCTGCATATACTTTGTGTGTATACTATATATATATATATATATATATGTATGGTTATCATATATATACACATATATAATAGAAAGTGAAATGCTATTCCAAAAAAACTGAAAAATGAAGAAAAGTTTATTAATTTAATTTGCCTGGCGGCCTCACACCGCAGTAGCTTTGATATGCATACATACCCGCCCCTCACATTGAGAACCACTCCTTACATTTTTTTGTGTTATTAAAAAGAACAAAGCAACCTTGGATTACAGCAAATAAAATGATATAGATATGACTGAAATGACAAATAAAACTGGTTCACCTTTTTCTAAAGTCATGATCACGGTTGTAAAATCTCGTGGATTGTGTGACATTCTGGCAGAACGACAACGACCGCAACAACTCAAGCGTGGTGTAGTAACTGATGTTATGTCGGCGTACTTAGAGAGGAAAAACATGTTGAAGTATTTAAAATACTATTCATCAAACCAGTGCTTGTGGTCTTTGTTCAAAGTACGCCTGTCAGATACTGGCCTTGTATCAAAAAAACTGTCTGAAGAACCATCCAAACAACGTCTTCATCCTACACTGCACCTCCCAAGGTCCTCAATAAACAGACCTGCCAAGTCTGGTCTGGTTCTACACGAGTGACATCTGAAATGAAGAACAGACCTCAAGGGATTCACAGGTAAATAGGGATTTAGACAATATGGTTCTAATACTGAGCTGACATTAGCATACAGGTTCCAGAGCTAACGTTAGCCAAAACAGTACACGGTACAACAGTAGAGATTAGCCCAGATGACAGGGCTGAGAGCCAAAGAATTCTTCTAATAACTCTACCTGTTTGTCTCGTCATGAATTCAGGCATTAGCCAAGAAGATTTGAGACTCTCTACTGAACTATGTTAAATATTCCTATTTAATCAACTGATTACAAAGCCTGACCATGTGATTTTCTTTTGTCTTTTCCTTAACGTCCACGTCCCAGTGATTACGGACCAGTTCAAGCATGCGATTTATTTGGAACACCAATATTTGGTTTCACTGCTCATTTTTACAAGAACTGGACCAAAACAAACTGAAACTTCCAAACCTCCTCTGTTTATAAGACACATGGTGGAAACTCTCTGGATTCCTGTGTCACATCTAATCGAGATAACAGGAGACTATGGTCAACAAAGAGCAGGTCCAGGGAGGTCCTGTTTCAATTACAGCCAGAACAACTCAGGTTACAGCAGCCGCAGCTGGACGCCTGCCAGAGAGCGAGACAATCTGCATTCACACCAACAGGTGGCAGAACCATTATCACAGCGGAAGGACCTGAAAGACCTTCCACCGGACAAGGACTACAGAGAACTGCTGCCATCACAGATACAGATATTTATTCTAACGACCTTAGTGAAGGTGCAAAGATGAAAGACAAGAACAGACACAAAAAATATCACCGTAAAGATCAGACGTCTAAAAATAAAAAGGAAAAAAAAGATTAAAACCAGGAACAATAAGATTGGGAAAGGTAATCTAAGTCCAGAACACTGGGGGAGGAGGGGGGAGTGGGGGG